GCTGGAGAATTCTGGGAGTTGAAGCCCACCAGTCTTAAAGTGGCCAAGTTTGGGCACCTCTGGGCTAGATTGCCATGGCAAGGCGGGAAGCCAACGGGAATTATTGGATTTACTTCCAGCCTGTGGAGTTTTTTTAAGTGGTCCCTTCCCTTTTCGTAATCCTTTTTGTTTGCGTTCAGTTACTCATTGAAGCTCCTGGGAGGCATTAATAAGTAAGTGGCTCGACATATAATTGATTTTCTGCCTATGCAAAGATTGCCTCCTGGGTAGGAATTGGGACTGGGGGGGGGGGGGGTGGAGGCACATTAGGGCTGCCTGGGGGAGGAATTGGAGGGCCAGCTCATAAAATGAACTGCCAGGCAGATTAAATCTTGCCAGCTTTATACATGAGTAATGACTCACCCAGGCTGAAACAGACAGTGGAAATTTCCATTTTGGGGGGAACTCCTCTGGTTTTTGGCCCAGCCCACATTAGGGATGTCCTTGCAATTCTCCCCAAGCTGTGTCGGGATTGTCCTTCTGGGGGAATCCTTAGCCAGCTAGATGGGGTAGGGGATTGTAGGAAAGCACCCCAGTATCCAGAGGGTGCCAACCTCTAGGGAAGGCTGCACTAAGGGCATGGTGAGGCCATAGCTTGAATTGATTTGCAGTTGATGTTCAGGGTTTTTGCAGCTCTGTTTGAGGGCACAGCTTGTAACTCTGCAAGCGAGGGCATGCCGATTTTTTTCCCACCCAACCTGTCTTTGGTTTAGCTTCCGTGCCATTACAGTGGAATGAAATCATTTGCATAAACTTAGTACAATTTGTTCCTCTTTTAAAAAGGGGGGATTTTATGTAATTAGGAGCGGGGCATTTTGAGGGACTCACATTGCAAGTATTTATACCCATGTGGTACATGTTTCCTTGCTGTGGATGTTCATGGCCACCCATAATCCTTCCAGACATCAGACGTTTAATATTCCTCTTTAATATTAACAGAGGTTAATAATGGTTCTTTTATTGCTCTGTTTGCTGAGCCTTATCTGAATTCTCTTTTTTTTAATTACAGGGACCATCTGCAGGGCTGACTGGTTGCTAGAGAATTGCTGAAAGTTTATTGCCATGGTATGTGGTTTGGGTTGTTTGCGGTACCAGGCAGTGCCTGGCACACCCTGGGACTGATCAAAGGGCCAATGCCTGGAGCTGTTGGCTCAGGGCAATTAAGCAGATGGAAAAGCTCTTCTTGACAGGGTAAATGTTATCCTTGGGAACCGCTACTATGAGGGCTCGGTGTGGCTGCGGAGGTGGCCGTTGGCCAGGGGTCTGTTGTGTATAGTTTGTTTCCTGCTGCACAACATAATTAGCCTTTTCCTGGTCACAGTAAATCTAAATTCAGTTCCTTGGTTTTGGGTTCAGGGAATGGGGTGAGCCTAGCCACTGTGGTGCCACGAATGGTGGTTTAAGGCTGTGTTTCTTGCACCAAGGTAGCCAATTGTGGTGTGTTCAGCAAGCCATAGTTAAACCTTGGTTTAGCGCTAGGTCCAAACCCAGTTAAGTTTCCCTTCCTTTGCTACTTTCATCGTGTAGATCAGGGGTCTCCAACCTTGGCCACTTTAAGACTTGTGGACTTCAACTTCCAGAGTTTGGAACTCCACAAGTTGAAGTCCACCAGTCTTAAAGTGGCCAAGGTTGGAGACCCCTGATGTAGACAAGCTCGGAGGGCATTTGGAACTCCTTTGTAGCAGCTGGACTGTTGGTCCATGGGGTTGAACTTGGCCTACTCCCCTGCTGCAAAGTCTTTAGCCTTCAACCATTTCTTTAGATCCCAACAGATGCAAACGTGATCAGGAAAATATTAGAATGTGCAGAAACGAACAGGTTAACGCTTGCAATTAAAGAAAAGGAACAAACTGAATATTACATGGTATGGGAACCCTTTTATCAATGGCTGGAGAATAAAAATGGAAATTGGAAAATCTAAGAAGACTAGCGAAACATAGTAAACAGGAGAATAAGAAATTAAATATGCTAAGAATTGTTATTATCATTCGATAGATCATGTGTAGTAGTCTGAAGTAAGAATAGAGGAATGATATGATAGGAATGAAGATGTAGTAATTGTAATGGTTATTACACAAGATATTTGTACCCAGATGACACACCGTTGAAATGAAAGATGGGTTGTTTATATAAAATAAAATTTAAAAAATATTTTAAAGAAAAAAAAACCATTTCTTTAGTGGCCATTCAAAGTTAACAATGACATTGGCGGAAGTGACCTTTGACTGGTTTTACACTCATAACCCGCGGCCACATCAAGGGATCAGAATTACAACGCTTGCCAACTGGCGTGTATTGATATGATCTCCATTGCAGCCTTCTCCTTTGTGAAGAGCAAAGTCAATGAGAGGAAGCCGGGTTCGCTTAATGGCGGCATGGTTCACTTAACTTGCTTCACTTAAAGACAGTGGCGAAAGGATCACAGCACGGGACAAAATGAGCTTCACAGCCCTCTTGCTGAGCCCACAGACACGTTGGTCTCTTTTGTGGTTCTAAGTCAAGGATTCCCTGGGCATCTGGGTATTTTTTGTGTGTGTCTTGTTTCTTCCTCTTCGGGGCTTTGACTTTTGATATTCTGTGGCTTTTAGGCAGGAAACAGAGGAACCATCAAGGGGGCGTCCAACTTCAACGCTGAGGCAGATGCCCAGGCTCTGCGCAAAGCTATGAAAGGCTTGGGTGAGTCATGCCTTGCATTCTTGATTGATTGCTCTGAAGTTGCTCTGCCTCAAAGTCTGTTTTAATCAGGACATTAGAAAGGTTGTGAAATTCTAGGTCAGGGGTGCCCAAACTTGTCCACTTTAAGACTTGTGGACTTCAACTCCCAGAATTCTGGGAGTTGAAATCCACAAGTCTTAAAGTGGACAAGTTTGGGGACCTCTGTGCTAGATTCTCTTTTCCTACCTGGCACCTTTGGACTGGAGCTCCCAAAATTTCCAACCAGAAGCTTCTGCCTGCTGCAAATTCCCCGAGGTGCTTTTTCCAAAAGGCAGTTGGACTTTGTTGTTTTTGTTTTTGTTTTCCTTTTGAAAAACATTCGGCTTTTCATCCAAGAAAGTTCTTTCAGTTCAAGAAGAGAAGAAACTTCCTAGTTGAGAAGCGAAACATTTTCAAAGGAAAAAACAAAACAAGAAAGTCCAGTTTGGAAAAAAGCACCTTTGGGACAACCATGATGAACACTCCCCATGGACAACCTGCTGGGAATTGTAAGCCCTGCCCAACTAGAGATGGAAAGGCTAAGCTTGCTTTGTGTAGAGCATGGGTCTCCAACCTTGACAACTTTAAGCCTGGAGGACTTCAACTCCAAGCTGGCTGGGGAATTACATTTGCATCAAAGAGACCATGAGAAATGGCCTTGTTCTGAGTTAGGTCCACACACTGGTTTCCTCCCCCCCCCCCGATTTGTGCTTCCGGTGGCCTTGCTCTGGAGGTCCTGGTTACCTGGGTTTTCCTGCTTGTCAAACATGTACCTGATCTCACCTTCTCCCCGTATCCTGCTCCATGGATCTGGGTTTCAATTCCTTGGTCCTCTTTCTTGCCCTTCCCTGAACCTTTGGTCTCTTGTCCCAGGTACTGACGAAGATGCCATCATTGAGATTTTGGTCAACAGGAACTTGTCCCAACGGCAAGAGATTAAGATTGCCTACAAATCCACTATTGGTCGGGTAGGTTTTGCGCTGAAGGGGAACTCTGGGACTGGATTCACACGTAGACTGCAAATTGAATTGTTCCACCTCATTAAGGCAGGGATATCTGTCAATAAAATTGATTGCTTCTATTGCTAATGCCAGACTTTTTCTTTGTATAGTCATTGTTTGATTTCCCACGCGCGCGCACACACACACACACACACACACACACACACACATCTCTCTCTCTTCCTGTTTCTCTCTTTATCTCTTTGGAAGATACAGTCCCTTTGTCAATGTTTAAATAAGGAGCTGGATTAATTATTATTAAATAATTGAAATTAAAGGTAAATTGTGTTGGGCAGAGCCAGGTGTGGCTTGGTGCAAACAAAGAGACAAAGTCCAGATTTGCCCCAAAAAGGCACAATTATTCAGTTGAACAAAACCGGATCCTCCTGTAAGATTGACAGAACCCCGAGTGCAGTTTGAAGCAAATTATAAAAATACGCATGCCTGTTGTGGTGTTGATCACATGTTTAACCCACAGGCTTGTGCTTTCCTTACAGAACTTTGCACAACCTAAAGGCTGGCTGGGCCTGCTCTTCATTCCTTCATTCCTTTTCATTCTCAATCTAAGATTCTTTTGACCAAATTGTCAGAATCATCGTGAATGTCAGAATCCTGATAGGTTCCTTTGAAGGGTGACTTGGAATCTTATTTGAGGAGAATTGGCTTGCACAAATCACATTAGTGTGCGCTGCGAGGTAACAAACTTCCTAAATAATGAGATAGATGATAAGATGAGATGAGATGATAAGAAGATAAGATAATCTGTATTATCATTTATTTCGAGGAGCACACTGGCACACATTAAAAATGAAATTCTGATGCCCGCTCTCAAAAGAAACAAAATACGTATATACACATATACACATACATGTACATTTGCTATGTATATGTGTGTGTAAACACATACACCTGTAAATACATATACATGTATACTTATGTACATATACATATATACATGCGCACACACACACACACACACACATATATATATATATACATACATGCATGCATGCATACACACATCATGCACACACACACACACACACGTATATTAATCACTGTCTATTTTGTATAGAGAGCAGGGGTCTTCAAACTTGACAGCTTTAAGACTTGTGGACTTCAACTCCCAGAATTCCTCCTCCAATCATGATCGCTCAGGAATTCTGGGAGTTGAAGCCCACAAGTCTTAAACTTGCCAAGTTTGAAGACCCTTGATATAGAGATATGGAAGAAGCAGAAAAATAAAGAAAAATGGCCCTGAGAATTTTTAAGCAAAAGTCATTAGTCCCTGCTAAGTTTCCAAAGATCATGTCGAATGTGAGATTCTGTGGTCCACAAAAAAGTTTGATCTGGGTTTATGTCCTTAAAATTGAAAAGCCAGCTGTCATACAGCTTTGACTTCTGACTTGAAATAACTTTTAATTTTGGCTGGTACACTTGTAACAAAAATAATGATGCTAGCCATTGTGATCTTATCCAATCATTCTCTTTCCCCAACAGGATTTGATTGATGACCTGAAGTCTGAGCTGAGTAAGAATTTTGAGAAAGTTATTATTGGAATGATGACCCCGATCACCCTGTATGATGTGGAGGAGCTGAGAAGAGCAATGAAGGTTTGCAAAAAAATAATAATGTTTAACTAGCACAAAGGACCAGAGATTTGTGTGGAGTTGTCCATGGGACTGTTTTATGTCAGACCCACACCTGTATCTCAAAAGGTCAACTGGAATATATTCTTTGAGCGGTTGGCTTCAAAGTTCCAGGAAGTGGGTGGGCGTGGAGGTGCCTTACTCATCTCTGGATGCTGCCTGGCAACATGGATTCAGCCAGGTCCTGGGGAAGATCAAAAGTCAAGGAGATCTCTGCAGCTACGTGATTCAAGCTCCATCCTTTCTGTACAAATATTGGCACATGTTAACACTCGAACACAGGGTTGGACTAGAAGACCTCCAAGGTCCCTTCCAGCCCCATTACTGTGTGTTCCATGTAAAAGAGAAGCGAGCAGTTACGGCCATGATTGTAACTCTACTTTTCATCTCCTCTTCCCCTGCTCAATTGAGCATATTGTAAACCAGGGGTCTCCAACCTTGGCAACTTTAAGACTTGGGAGCTTCAACTCCCAGAATTCCTCAGCCAGCTTGCTTTAAAGACCTACAAATGTGCTATCGCAAAAGCTTCTATGGGTTGGAGGCCCTCTTTGATTGTAGGTGGAGTCTAATAATAGGTAGACCATAAACCATGGTAATTGGTTGGAAAATAAGGATCTGGGGAGCTGCCTGAAGTTGTAGGCATGTTCTCCATCCGTTCCTGGTTTTTGTCTCCCTACTTTGGGGTATTCTGTGCACCTATGAGAGCAGGAAATTGCAGCAGACACATTTTCCATCATATTACTGCAGCCAGCATTTTCATAAAATTCCACACAGTCCCTCAGAGGCTTGAGATCTGCGAGGTTTGGTTTCCACTCTGTGGTCGGTCAAAATTATTTTGAAGCTTGGAGATGTTCCTAGGAAAACCTTGTTTCTGTTGGCGTTTGCCCAGCTCTGGCGCTCTGTTGAAGCCCTTTTGTCTTGTCTTGCAGGGGGCTGGGACGGATGAGGGCTGCCTGATAGAAATCTTGGCCTCTCGTACCAACGAGGAAATGCGGAGGATTAATGACACCTACCGCCGTCGTGAGTATTCGGTCCCATAGCCTTCGTCACTCACCTGCAGCCGATTCATGGAGGTTTCCAGAATCACATGGCCAGCTGGGCACAGACGGCAGCTGGAAACCTTGAATTCCATTTGCATGTTATGTTTGGTGGTAGGCAGACCTACCACAGGCAATGCTTTTAGATACGGTCCCTAGAATTTGTGTGGGCCCAATCTCAGAGTTTAGTGTACAGAGGTTCCCAAACTTGGCCACTTTAAGACTTGTGGACTTCAACTCCCAGAATTCCTGAGCTAACATGACTGGAGGAGAAATTCTGGGAGTTGAAGTCCACAAGTCTTAAAGTGGCCAAGTTTGGAGACCTCTGGTTTAGTGGGATTCCCCATTGTCATAACTGTCTGCAGACCATGGTCAAAAGAAGTCAAGATGGCATCACTGATGGTGCAGATGAGAAATCAAGATGGCATCATTGATGGCGTCCATAAAAATAGGCAGATCTGTTATTGCACCATTGCTGTCGGTGATTCAAGGTAGATCAAACTCCAACACACAAAATCGTGAATATTAAAATTATATCTGTTATAGGATTTTTGTCAGATCTAAGTCCAAAAATGACACAATTGAGATCCACCTGAATGCATTTCTTTATTTGCTTTCACCCAACAGACGTACTCTTGCCAGACTAAAACCTTCTAACCGACCAAATATACCCTGGGAGATTCTGGGGTGTGGCTGTTCTGAATCTTTTCCTCCCTCCCCCCACACAGTTCAGGACTGCACAGTCTGTTGTCTTGGGCCTCTCTCTGGAATTGACAGACGTGAAATATCAGGCTTGCAGTTAAACCGATTTATTGGCATTCACACCTATGCACAGGAATCTTCCCAACTCAGGGTTAGCACCTGACAGGGGTTAGATACGGGCCAGTGGAATTCGAGGAAGGTTGGGCTTAGTTCGCTTGTGGTTATGTAGGGATTCCTCGCTGATCCCCCTTTTCATGGCGACCCCCAGGTTCTGTCAGTCCTTCCAGTACAGGACCGTGCTGTTGCTGATAACTCCCCCCACCCAATAGCCTTCCCCAGTTCATGCTCCGTCACACAGTTACAGACTCTTTCCACTCTGAATACACCTCTCCCCTCCCTGGTTTTATCCTAAAGGCAGGTAGGAGGGGTCCCTTCTGCTTTCTCTGTCACATCTTCCCTTGGACTCCATTTCTTGAATCCAGCCATTGCTTCTTCCTCCTGTTTCTCAAGGTTTATTCTCACAGACCCCCGAATTTTTTGAACATGCCCTGCCTGCACACTGGTGGTGGTTTTTCAAGAAGTTGTCAAGCTTTCCTCCGCCCCGCCAATTCTCCGAGTAGGACTGAGATATACGTCTGGGCCTTTTTTTGCAGAGTATGGAACCACCCCCGAGAAGGACATTGTTTCAGATACCTCCTCCAAGTTCCAGAGGGTCCTGGTGTCCCTCTCAACTGTAAGTATTTGGCTCTTCTTGTCGTGCCTCAGATCGCTCTTCACACAATGGATGAGTTCACACCTCGCCCTAAAACAGGGGTCTCAATCTTGGTAACTTGATGACTTGTGGACTTCAACTCCCAGAATTCTGGGGGTTGAAGCCACCGGTTGTAAAGTTGCCATGGTTGGAGGCCCCTGCCCTAAATCACACCTTGTCTTTGTCGAGCAAGCATTTTTGCAGGTGATAAGGAGGGATGAGAAGAATAACAGTAATAGTAGTGCAGACTTTGTAAAGAGTTGGACAGTGTTGAGGGAATTATTTGTTTAGCAGAGTGATGGCGTTCAGAGAAAAACTGTTCTTGTGTCCAGTTGTTCTGGTGTGCAGGGCTCTATAGCGTCGTTTTGAGGGCAGGAATGGAAACGGTTTATGTCTGGGATGGGAGGGGTCTGGAGATATTTTCACAGCCCTCTTTTTGACTCGTGCAGGATGCAGGTCCTCCATGGAAGGCAGGTTGTGGTAGCCATAGTTTTTTCTGCAGTCTTAATTACCCTCTGAAGTCTGTGTCTGTCCTGTTGGGTTGCAGAGCCAAACCAGACAGTTATGGAGGTGCAGGTGACTTATTTGAAATCTCTGTTGAGCTTCACTTGCCTCCCCTCCCCTTTTCTTCCCAGGGCAACAGAGATGAGAGTTCCCATGTTGACCAGGGGCTGGCCAAAGAGGATGCCAAGGTGAGTAACCCCATTTGCAGGGACTGCCCCAAAGAAGAGGGAGTCAAGCTATCCTCCAAAGCACCTGAAGGCAGGATAAGAAGCAATGGGTGGAAACTAATCAAGGAGAGAAGCAACTTAGAACAATGAATCAGTGGAACCACTTGTCTCCAGAAGTTGTGAATGCTCCAACACTGGAAGTTTTTAAGAAGATGTTGGATAACCATTTGTCTGAAGTGGTGTAGGGTTTCCTGCCTAGGCAGGGGGTTGAACTAGAAGACCTCCAAGGTCCCTTCCAGCTCTGTTATTCTATGAGCACCAAAATTTTAGCAGCCAAATTGCAATTTTGGGTGACACAATGAGTGCCTCCTTCTCCCCACCCCATTGTCCATGTCAGGGGTCTCCAACCTTGGCCACTTGAAGCCTGGCGGACTTCAACTCCCAGAACTCCCCAGCCAACCTTGGCCACTTGAAGCCTGG